TCATTTTCTTTTTTATTTTAATCCTCCTATTTTCCAAATCAGAGACATTTCAATATTTCAAGCTAATTACAATATTTCTAGCTAGCTAATAGTTTAAAGTATCTAGTTAGCAGAACTCCAGTCTATGTATATTCCAATTTATCTGGACTATTTTGGTAGTTTTGTTGGTTATTTATAAATATGCTAATAGGAAATATATATGTAAATTAAGGGTATATACATAATATAAAAGGCGATGTAGTTCCTTCATTTTTTTATATATACTTGTTAGAACCTATTAATCTATTCCACACCAGTTATAACTAATACATATTAATTTACCAAGTTTAAGGTCTTTTTTTGTTGGGAAACGTGCCTAGCACTTAATGAGTTATTACAGGATAATTCTAAATGAAACATTTTAATGGTGACTTGCAGTGTATATTTTCTGTTAACATCCATATAAAAAGGTGACATACAGTCTGCCCAAGTATATACACCGTTAGTTCTGTGTCAAAGGTTCTACTTTAGGATGAGAGGCTCGATTTAATAACACAAGACAAGCAATAAAACAGCCGCCAAATACAATTAACATTTGTTCTGCTATGTAATCCTCCTCACAAAGCTATATTTACACATGAAAATATGTCTCCTGGCAATAAAGAAACAACAACATAGAAATCAATGTACCCTTCCTATTTATCTCTTTGTAGCATGCATTAACAAGTAAAAAAAAAATAGCTTGAAACTCCCAAGAACTTTGTATCTTCATTGAGGGTATAAAGCTAATAAAAAACATTACATATGCACAAAAACAACCCCATATGCCAATTTAATCATCACCGCACCCAAGCATGCTGTGTAAGCTTCACTTATTAACTCTTTTAGTGCCATATGTTACATGAATCCGTGACAAAACAACTTGTTCTGTAATGTTCTGGCAGCACATAAATTACTACAATTATAACAGGTGTGCTTCTAGAGACCTCAGAAAAGTCTATCATTACACACAGCCCATGTCACTAAACAGTGAACTAAGCAATTGATAAAAATGATAGCAGTTGCATTACAGAGCAGGTTCACTCATCCTAATACCAACCAAATAATAGCTTCCTGAGAATCGTGATACTGGTAGGTAAAGGGGGCGGGGCAAGTGATGCGATTGCATTGCTAGCCCACCACAAAAGGAGAAACCTGCCCAGGAAGAGGGGGTCCACTCAAGTTAATGACAAGTCAGAGAGCAGGAGATGTTTCCTAGTGCCCTGAACATTGCTATGAATGTTGGGGACCTTTTCCTAGTGTGCCAAAAGCAGGACACTAAGGGACTAAGAGGGAACGGTGGGACAGATCTTGAAAATCTTCTTAGGGATGCAGCTAGCCTTATTTGATAAACCCTTGATATACAGAGATTTATGGGATTTGGCACTTTTTCTGGTTAGGTTGGAGTCTGCCTGTAGTTGCTTCATAGAAAACATTGACAGTATGCATCTTTTTTATTATATTACTTTCATTTTGCATTACTTTCTAATGGTTTATCTATAAAAGTCATTAATAAAGTGGGGTCATTTAATAGTTTCCCTTTAATGTACATCTTAAATAAAAACCTATATACGACTATCTTTCTTTAATTTAATTCTTACTGGTGACTTTACTTGGTAAGGTGGGTGAGCAAAATGTTTTTTTTTTTTTTTATTGTTACCATTGTATTTATTTCTATTAGTATTTGACCATGGGAGTGGAGACCTTTCGGTCACTGTACATTGATTGAGGGTATCACATATAAAATTTAGAAACAGATATTTTTTTTTTCAGACTTGTTCCAGCCTTTCATGCATGGAGCACACTCAAACCTCTTTGAGCATGGTACACTGTCATCATCAAAGTGTCTCTTTTTTTTTCCCCTCTATTATTTCCTTTTATATCTTATGCTATTTTGCATTTCCAGCATTCACCGATGTTGTAGGGAAATGCTTCATCAGATGTTGGGGTGTTAGATACCATCTATTTGATAACTTAGACTGGGTCTCAATTGTGTTTAAGCAATGAATATTCTTATTCAGTTTATTTAAGGAATTTTTCCATTGATGTACTTCTATATTCGTTTTTTAGTTCTTTTTCCCATTTATTGATCACTTCTATTGTTTTATCATGTCTCCAGCCATATATAATTTTTACACATTTAGTTATTAGGTTTTTATAATTCTTTAGTGCAAATAAATGTATAAGGCTGAAAGCTTTGGATTCGTAAATAGTTAAACCTTTGGTTAGAGGAGATGTTAAATTCAGTCATAATTTGGAAGAAGACTTTCAATTTGCCCACCCCTTTCTCAGACCATGAATCTATTCTTAGGTTTTCCAACATATCTTCAATAGTCGTGAAAGGGAGGGCAGTTATTATTTTATTTATAAGACCTTTCTTACTTGTGAATTTGCCCCACCATCTCGTCAGTTCTTCGAGTATCCGAGATTTCCTGGATGCCTCTCTCATGATATTTCTGTTTGTATCAACCGTCCAGAATAATCAGGCTAAATTCCTTACACCGGTCTTTGCTAGTTCTATCTTGTACCAATTTTCTTTGATAGTCGCTCTGTTCTGTGTAAGCATTATGTGGAACAATCTACTGGCCTGGTAGCACTAGAAGACTTCCAGTAATTTCATCTTTACTCTTGGTTTCTTATCACTCCAGGTAAATTTAATGAAGGATCTAGGCAGTAACGACAACCAGTTTTCTGGGCAGTTGATTGGAATCATTCTCCAAATATATAGCCACTTTGGTAGAATGTATGATTTTAATATGTTAATCCTTCCTGAAACTGAGAATCCCAAATTTTTCCAGTCTTTCAATTTTTTTGTTTGTGTCTTTCAGCAATGGAAGGAAGTTGGCTTCTACCATGTCTTTTAATAAAGGGGTTATGTCCGTATTTCTGGCTAGACCATTATTTTGCACAAGTTTATTGGTCAGTCTTTTATTCATATTTTTCACTATGAATGTTGATTTTTTCCAGATTTATTTTATAGCCAGGGATTTTAGAATAGCTTTTTATATCTTTAAGTAGTTCTTGTAACGACCTAATTGGATCTTCAAGTGTTAGCAGGATGTCATCTGCATAGATCCTAAGTTTGGTCTGTCCTGTAGTATTTGTAAATCCCTTAATTTTATTGTTTTGTCTGATTAGGATGGTGAGGGGCTCTAATACCATTATGTATAATAAAGGCGAGAGGGGACATCCCTGTCTGGTTCCATTTTTTATACTAAAGGAATGCGATGTGAATCCTGACCCTGTGACCTTAGCTGATGGAGCACTATATAAAGCTGATATTGCTTTAAAAAATGGTCCGGTTATTCCAAAATGGTTTAAAGCGGAGAACATGAAGCCCCATCCAACCCTGTCGAATGCTTTCTCTGCGTCTAACGACAACAGGGTTAGAGGGGCTCCACTGGGGATCTCCCAGAGACAAAAACAACTTGATCATCATTAATGAGATGAGGTATCACAGGCTTCAGTCTTTCGGCTATAATAGAAGATAGTAGTTTAATATCGGTATTAATCAATGATATAGGTCTGTAGTTGCTTACCAGCTCCAGGTTTTTATCAGCTTTTGGGATAGGCACAATATTTGCCACTAGCAGCTCCTCTGGGCACTCTCCTGTTTCCATTATATGATTGAAGACAATGGTTAGTTCTCCTTTAAGCCAGTTCTTCATTGATTTGTAAAATCTGTTTGTGAAGATTTTGCAGTTTATTCTCATTTTTGTTTTTATTGGCTTTATGACTTTTCCTATTTTTCAATGGGTCCGCCAGATAATTGAAGTCTCCCATTATTAGTACCAAACCTTGTCGAATCTGGTCTACCTTCTTAAAAATTTTTTAAATAAATTTGATTGGAGCTTTGTTAGGAGCATATATGTTGACCAGTGTAAATAACTTATTGTTAATTTCACATATCATGATAATAAAGTGCCCTTTTGGGTCTAAATCTTGGAATTTAATAGTTAAAGAAATATTACTTGCAAATAGAAATGCCACTCCTCTTTTTTTTCCCCTTTCTAATGCAGCACTTGTGATTATAGGGAATCTAGAAGAATTTATTTTATTTTCTATAGACTTTATCCAGTGGGTTTCTTGGATAATACAGATTTGTATCCAATTTTTTGTCATATAATCTAGAATTATTAACCTTTCATTTGGTGTATTTATCCCCCGGGCATTTATCGAAATCGGCTTAATTTATAGTGATCTGTTATTTTTTTAGGCTCTCTTTCTATTAGATTTGACTGACTAGTGTTTAGACCAAGGGATTTTATACTTTTTTTGTTGACGAACAAATAAGACGGGTTGATCCATTGTATAGGCATCAACCTAAAACTAATAAGAGGTGTGGTGGGACGAACCCACCATACCATATCTTGGGTGATGATAGCCATCACTTAGATATAAATCCCACATTCTGTGGGAAATACAGGCTGCAAAATGAGTGACCCATGGTGCTCATGTAATTGGAGCAATTGCTTTGGGGCGAGGGGAGCGGGGCAACTGCATGCAGTGTGGCTGGGAAACAATACAAAACCGGGGGTGAGGAATAGAACATTTTCAAGGAAGATGGGGGACTCCAGGGAGGGAGAGAAATCTTTTTGCCCATTTCTCCTCTCTTTGCCCATTTCTCCTTACTCCTCTTCCTCCCTTCCCCCCCACTCTCCCCTTGCTTATCTACCTAATCCGCTTATATGCTAGTGCTTTTTTATTTACTTACATCCTATTCGTGCCCCCCACATATGCTTACTTATTTTTCTGAACATCCATTGTTTTTTATAGCACTTAAGATTTGCATTTTTTGTTTGAAGGTGGTACAGCACAATATCACATCCTTTGGAAGGTGTTCTGGGACTCCTTTAGTTTTGTATACCCTATGACATCTCTCAGTCATAGGGATTTTCTGGTCCCATTCTATCTTCAGATCTTTAAAGAATTCTTCTGTATATGCTTCCAGATTTATTTGCTTAACTTGTTCAGGATAACCTCTAATTCTCAAGTTGTTCCAGTCCTCCAGTTCTGTCAATTTGCCCTCCAATTCCTCTATTTTGTAACCCCTTCTGTGCTTGTTTATTGGTATTTCCCATCTGTTCCAATTCCTTTAATTTTCCTTCCATACCCAGCAGCCTTTGATTAAGAATGGCGAGGTCTATCTTGATGTCTTTAGTTTGATTTTGTATTTCTTCTCTTATGGTGTGGAATTGGCTGTCTAGATGTTTGGGCAAATCGTCATATTCCGTTTTTTCTTCATTATGGTCTCTTTCTTGACTATCCTCCCGGCTGTCTTCCGTTAGCATCTTTTTTGTGGATGTTTCTGGCAGGGTGTTTAAATTAATCTACAGCTCTGTATTAGTTTTATTTGGTGTCGAGTTTGATAGAAAAAAAGAATTAAGTTTTTCTGTTTTATTTTCTACCACTTTTTTTTCCTTTTTTACTTGTTTTCCATTTTGTGTTTTTTTTTTTTGTAGCCATAATTCTTTTCTTTTTTTCTTTTTTTTTTCCTTCTCTTTCCTTCCTTTTTTCTTTCTCCTTTTTTTTGTTATTTGATTTCCCCTTTCTTTTTATAATTATTTTTTTGTTTTTTGTTATTTATTTATAGCTAGTGGTTTCCCCTTTTGTTTTTTTGTTTGTTTTTGGTTACCCTTTTCCCACTTGATTTTATATATATATATATATATATTTTTTATTGGACTAGAATATTAGTAAGCTTTCCTGCTCCCCCTTATTCTTATTGCAAACCAATAGTTGGTATCTGATTTGTCTATTTATGGGCTATAAAAACTTTTCCTTTTTTTTCCCCTCCTTTCTTTCTCCTTCCTTTCTTCCCCTTTTCTCTTCCCCTGCAACTCCTTAATTAGGGAAATCTCCCTTACTGAACCCCAATGTGCCAGAGATAGTTATAATATTGTGATAACTATGATGGTTGTTGTGCCTCCTTGAGTGCTATATAAGTACTATATAAGTGCTATATATAAGTGCTATACATGCAGAAAAGCTATTTGTTCAAAGCAAGTTCAGAACAAGCGAGCTGCCAAGTAGCAAACTGTTGCTTTTTTGTAGGAACTTATCTCTGTCGCCATGCCCGTCTACTGCCTACAGCTCCTTCACCTCCAGCCACACTCGCCTATCCACGGAGCAGCACTGCCGGTAAAATCAGTCCATTCGCCAGAGTTCCCCTCGCACTTCTCACTGGGGGATCCCGGTCAGCATCTTTGTGAATGCTGTTCCCGGCTGCTCCTGTCTCCTTACATGCCCGGTCGCTCCTTCAGCCGCTCACCATGAGGACGTAGCCCAGCATCCTATGTCATCTCGCTCCACCTCATCCTGCAAATGGGCATCTTCAGCTTAGGTTCCTATCAATCATTGTTACTGTTACAAAATGCCTTTTGTAACTGTTTATTTAAGTGACAAATTGCCTGCTTCCCTGGACTATGGAGGAGCCTATTTGCCAGCCTCCTTCCTCATGACTATGGCCCTGGTGTGTATGGCCCTTTAAGAACAGTCTGTTCCTATTATTTTCCTACTTCGTTCAGTAAAAGGGATAACTGAACCAAGTGCCACATAGGCGGACCACCCAGAAGTGGAAGTGTGCAGGCAATTTACCTCCCAGGCTGGGAGCCTGCTGTAGGTAAATTGCCGACCGCTGGGTGGCCGCAGTTCGTACAAACAAACACGTGGCGGCGGCCGTCTTTGTTCATTCGAACGAGGTCAGCAGTATGTGTAGCCAAATTCATGGAACTGAAATCAGCTACACATTTAGACGAACACCGCTGACCCTGCATAAAATTGACCGACCGCACAGCCCAAATCTCTGGAACTATTTTGGCAAAAAAATGTGCTTGCGGTCGGTCATAAAGGACTTCCGTCTAACTTTTTATCTACTGGAGGGATTTGTATGATTTTTGGTTATGTTTATATTTAAAGTATGCTGATTCTGAATATGTAATTTATGAAGATTGGACGTATATTTTTAAAGTTACAGTGTATGTATAAAAAGTGTATTTTTCCTGCCTGTGATAATTACAGTAACCCATTGTGTTCAGTAATTATATCACAGGCAGAGGGGAGGATTTGTGTGTTATTGATGGGTGTGTTTTTACTGTATGTTAAGTGTTTATAGGTTATTCTGCAAAACCCTGTGGGTGGTCCTGTATGTGTAAAACCACCATAAAAGAAGGCCCTTTGGTGCCAATTAAACAAAACTACTTGACCCTCTAACTCGCAGCTTCGACTCATGTTTGTAGGGGACAGCTATAATCACAACAGGGATTGCTATGCTCTTCATACTCCCTTAGCTACTGAGCTCTTGTAAGAGCTCTTGTTCCTGATCCTGCTTCGCTCTATAGAAGGAAGAGGTTCACCTATTGGAACCTGGAGCCTTGTTGTAGGTCCACGGTGGATAGCAGATGGCGAGATCCCAGCCCAGCAGCAGAGGTTCGTGGAGTCTGCAGTGCTTATAGTGTCTACGGTGCTGATGGTCCTTTGGTGAGCGCTAGGAGCATCCTTTCTACGGTCCTACTACCAGCCAGCCTGGAGGCAACCGTAACAGTTACAAACTCTGTCCTGCTCCTGTATCCCATCGCTGCCCAAATGCATGCACGAATACTTGGGGCGGGCCGCAACCTCCTAACTTAGATTGCGTTGAAAATTATTATAAAATTTAGATACATATTATTGGCTAGCCATTGTGCTTTTTCTATGTAGGGGAGTATGTGAACAACTTCTGGTCTGATATGATGTCTGTAAGCAACATATATTATTTTTCGAAAGGATATTGGGGAACCCTGCCCCAAGCATATAATCAATTAACCCAATATTGTAAAAGCATACTAGATAAGGTGATGCATTGCTCACTTCTGCATATATGTTTAGGGTATCCCTTGTACTATAAATCTTTGCCAACACACACAGTGGGGTGACAAAATTAAGCATTTGAGCAAGTCATGCTAAAACATTTTACTTTTGGGTAGACAAAGAAATAGTCCCCCTTTCATTTTAATATAGGTCTTTTGCATTACCAACATGTTTTTACTAAATTTATCACAAAATCAAGATGCCTTTTGCATCCAAGATCCCTGAAAAAATTGTGTATGCGAGATTGACAGACTTCCTCGAGTCCAACTCTCTGCTAGACCCGCTTCAGTCTGGTTTCCGCACTAAGCACTCTGTGGAAACGGCACTGACCAAAATATCCAATGACCTACGCGCTGCAAAATCTCGTGGTCACTACTCTATCCTAATTCTCCTTGACCTGTCTGCGGCTTTTGACACTGTTGATCATCAACAGCTTCTTTTCATCCTCCGCAATATCGGTCTACAAGATATTGCTCTCTCCTGGTGCTCCTCCTACCTCTCCCAGCGCTCTTTCAGTGTTCCTTTCTCTGGATCTGCTTCTTCTCCTCAACTCCTCTCTGTTGGTGTCCCCCAAGGTTCAGTCCTTGGTCCCCTGCTGTTCTCCATCTATACTGCCTCCCTTGGTAAACTCATTAGCTCCTTTGGCTTCCAATATCATTTCTATGCGGATGACATGCAAATCTAACTGTCCTCTCATGATCTCTCCCCGTCCCTCTTGACTAGTGTCTCTGACTGCCTCTCTGCTGTTTCTAACTGGATGGCTGCCCACTTCCTTAAACTAAACTTGACCAAAACTGAAAATCTGGCCTTTCCTCCCTCAAGTGTTGTTACTCCTGTGTCTGTCTCCCTCCAAGTCAACGGTGCTACTATCAGTTCCACCACGCAGGGTCGCTGCCTAGCTGTTCTCTTTGACTCCGACCTCTCCTTCAAGCCTCATGTTCAATCTATCGCCAAATCCTGTCATTTCCATCTCAAAAACATTGCGCGCATCCGCCCCTACTTAACGCCAGATGCGACTAAGGTGTTGGTCCATTCCACTGTCCTCTCTCACCTTGACTACTGTAATCTGCTTCTCAGTGGTCTTACGTGCTCCCAACTTGTGCCATTACAGTCCACAATGAATGCGGCGGCGAGGCTCATCTTCCTGTCCGCCCGCACCTCCCATGCCTCACCCTTCTTTCAGTCCCTACATTGGCTTCCTATAAAATATAGAGCTCAATTTAAAATTCTGGTTCTTGCTTTCAAATCTCTACATAATACTGCTCCCACCTATCTATCCTCCCTTATACACAAATATGTCCCATCTAGGCCCTTACGATCTGCTGAAGACTTACGTCTATCTTCTGTCCATACTCCCCCCTCTGACTTTTCCAGGGCTGCACCATTCCTGTGGAGCTCGCTTTCCTCCTCCGTTAGATGCTCACCCAGTCTCCACTCCTTCAAAAAATCGTTAAAAACCCACTTCTTCATAAAATCGTATCAATTAAACTGTTAATAGCTCCTGACTGATTCCTCTTCTGCAACTGTCACTAGTCTAATACTATCCTTACATTTTTGTGTCATTTTACCCCACTCCCTCTAGCATGTAAGCTCATTGAGCAGGGCCCTCAACCCCTCTGTTCCTGTGTGTCCAACTTGTCTGGTTACAACTACATGTCTGTTCGTCCACACATTATAAAGCGCTGCGGAATTTGACGGCGCTCTATAAATATCATAATAATAATAATAATCAAAACTATATCATAAAAAATATCTAATTAAACTGTTTTTCACATTATTGAAGTATTTTAAATGAGTATCCAACGAATGAGCCATAACTTCTGAGAGTTCCATTTTTATTATTTGTAAGTAAATTGGTGTACTACTGTACTAATGTATATTTTGTTTTCAAGGATTTTTTGTTAGTAGATTAATTGTTTTGCTTCTTTCCATGTAAGTGTCAGTGTGCCATATGTTTGAGTTTTCTTTTCCTTTATTATGTAGGGTCTTTTGTTGCATAGAATTAGACTTCAATTAAATTATTTTGACACTTAACAAGCTTTTTTTTAAATTATTTCACCATTTCTAACCTTTATTATTATTATTATTATTATTATTATTATTATTTATGAAGCGCCAATAAATTCCATTGTGCTGTACAGACATGCATTATGCACCCTCAGGTAGACAGCCTGCAAGCAACTCCTCCTTAAAACACTAGCATGCATATATGAAAAAAGCCAGTTCTGCAATTTTTTGTTCTACTGAACATTTATAATATAGAAATGATAGAAACACAGTAAGTATCTTACTATGTAAGCACATGTATGAGGAGAGTATGAGGTCACCATGCAGCAAGCAATTAAAGCAAAAACATGTAGGTTACTCTGGCAGTTATGTTGAACTAGCTGGTTGAACACTAACATTACCCCCAGAGTCTTGGAAGGTAGAAATTAAATAAAAG